GGACATATATGGAGTGATAAAAAGTCTAAAAGGACATCCAGTAATGGTCAATCAGGTCATCTGGACAGTTTCGTTTTTGTGGAAAGATGTTTCGCCCTCTATTCATTCATTCAACCTTTATTTAGACAGTAAATCCCATTGAGTCTCGAGGACTCATTTACAAGAGAGACCTGATTTCAACAAGGAATGATGACAACAATGGACGACAATAGTTTTAAAAAGGCATACAGATTTTTTTTTTTTTTTTTTAACAAATACTTTGGCAAAAAAACCAAAAAAAAAAACAGCTAGATTATAAGGCGAATGTAGAAAACTAAAAGCAGGAACATGTCTGCATTGGTCCTTGGTCCGTTGGTCCATAGGGCTTCGTTAGTCTGAGGAGTCCCAAGTAAACTGTTGATGAACATGAACTTTGATGTCTTGAACCACTTTGGCTGTGGCTGCCTGCCTGGGAGGAGTCAACGAGGGACAGGATAGCCCCAAGAAACCATCTTATCTTCAGCAAACTGGTTGGTCCACTAAAGGAGTGTACTGCTTAGTGGGGAAAACAGTTTACTTGGGATTCCTCAGACTGATGAAGCCCTCCGGATAGAGCGCGGAACGTCTTTCCACAAAAAATAAACTGTCCAGGTGACCTGATTGACCATTATTGGATTTTGTACCTGGATGACTGAGCATGAACTTTGAGACCTAAAAGGACATGTTGGGAGACAAAAAAATAAACTCAAGGGAAATGGAAAAAAAGGAAAAAAAAAAAAAAAAGAGCACGTAAAACGGCTTAAAGGACAAATAAGGAGACATTTTTAAAAAAGGGTACATAAAAAATTATGCATGAGACAAAAAAGAACAATGAGACAAAGATGCATAATAAGGCAAAAGGGGCACATATTTGGACAAAATGGACGCAGAGGGAGACAAAAGGAAGCATGAGAAAACAGCAAATATGCTGAAGATTACATTTTTTTTACAGTTTTTCAAGGATTTAACCACAGTGCAGTAAAATAAGAAAAGCAATTGTAAATAATAATAATAATACTTTATTTATAAAGCCCTTTAAAACAACCACAGCTGCAACAAAGTGCTGTACACATAAAATCAAGAAAATCTAAACACATAAAAATAAAGCAGTTGTTAAAACATTAAGATCAATAAAAACAGTGCAGAGTAAAATTCAGCCTGTGTTAAAATCCAGGGAGTAAAAATGTGTTGTTAAAAGAGTTTTAAAACTGGACAGTGAAGAGGCTCGTCTGATGGGAAGAGGAAGATCGTTCCACAGTCTTGGAGCAGCAACAGAAAAAGCTTTGTCCCCTCTGAGCCTCCGTTTGGACCTCGGCACCTCCATGAGCAGCTGATCAGCTGATCTGAGGCACCGAGCAGGAGAGTATGGATGAAGCAGCTCAAAGAGGCAGGATGGAGCAAGACCATTTAAACTTTTAAAAACAAATAAAAGAATCTTAAAATGAACTCTAAAATGAACAGGCAGCCAGTGGAGTGAAGCCAGAGTGGGGGTGATGTACTCCCTCTTTTGAACTCCAGTTAGAAGCCGAGCAGCAGCGTTCTGGACCAACTGGAGACATCTGAGGGAGGACTGGCTGACTCCAAGGTAAAGAGTGTTACAGTAATTCAGCCGAGAGGTGACGAAGGCATGGATTACTGTTTCCAGCTGCTGTTTTGTGAGGATGGGCTTTACCTTAGCCAGCTGTCTGAGGTGATAAAAACTGGTCTTGACCACCGCTCCAATCTGGGAATCATTTAAAATCACTGTCCATTTTAAAACCCAAGTTAGAAACGGTTTTCTTTACATGTGGTGCCAGAAGGCCCAGATCCACAGGGCAAGGTTCACAAGAGCCACTAGGACCAAACACCATCACTTCTGTTTTCTTTTCATTGAAATTTAAGAAGTTTAAAGACATCCAGGCTTTGATGTCTTCAAGACACAACAGAAGTGGCCTAATTGAGGGGGCATCTTTCTTTTTTAGTGGCATATAGTTCATCAAGTTAAACACTTCGAAAAGTTTAAGTTACAAAAGTCATAGCCCCAATGTTCTGAATGAGCCGAATGTTTTGATGACAGAAAGGCTGAAATAGCTGAATGCATGCTGAAGCAATTACAGTAAAAAAATAAAAAAACTCTAAACAGGAAAAAAAATAGCATGAATGCCGACTCAGCGTATACAATTACCTACTTTGTTTCCCCTGTGGGGGTGACGTGTCTGCAAAATTATTATTTTTTCTTCCATACGAACCAACATTTTGATTATTTTTCCAAATCGTCCGACTTGTCACGCAACTAAAATAAAACTCTGCCTTTAATGCTTTATAATGTCACCTCGCATTAAGACGCAATAGAAATATGACTGAATATGATTACATGTAAAAGGTAGCAGTCTGCTCATTCAAAGCTCCGCCAAAAGAAAATTTCAGTGTGAATCAAAACGTGAATGACCTTTGTGCTAAAACTAATTAAATGTTATCTGTATTTCTCTTCACATTAAAATATAAATCCCTGCACAAAGAGAAATTGGTGATCAAAGAAAATAGGACCATAATGGTTGTGTAATCCAGATGCTTTTATTTTTTTTAATAATTATGTGACTTCACTCACTTATTCCCTAGCTCTGTCTCTGCAGGGTAAATAATGTCCCTACCTAGTTAAAACAGAAGGTAGAATTATAGAAGAAAAAAATAAATAAATTGGCACTGCTTTAGATAAGGAGAAAATAAAAAAATAATTTAATATTCACGTCCCTGCAGGCTACAATGATAAAAAATAAAAAAAGAAAGGTTATTTTAAAACCAAACATGTTCAAACAAAGACTTTTAAAACAAAACAACGGTTGTGTTTGTTTAATTATCATTTTTTAATGGTCTTCATGACATTGCAACATTTGTTTCATAATTATAAAAATAGTTACTTTATTATCTTTAAATCTTTGAGTCTGCTTGTGCATTTAAAGACAAATACACGATAAACATCCCAAAAAAGCAGACAGAGCTGATCTTTAGAAGACTGACGGCAATCATAAATTATTTTTTAAAACGTTCCAATTCTTAGGTTATAATTATAATTCATTTGTAGTTTTGCTACTATTTTGTAATGATTGTTTTATTTGCCCGCTGCCAAAGGGGAGGGGCAATGTGTGTGTTTGTCTGTAGTGTTAACAAAATATCTCATGAACCAGTGAACAGATTATAATTAGAAGGTGAATTTTAGGGTAAAATTGTGTGTGTGGGCCAAGGGGTGGAGTGAATGGTTAAGGTTGGTGGGGGGCCTACAGCACTGCTTAGCCCAGAGGCCTTTGGGGCGGCTGTGGCTAGCGCAGTCGTCCTCCAATGAAAGAGGTGGGGGTTCGATTCCACCAGCAGTCACATGCCTAAGTGTCCCTGGGCAAGACACTGAACCCTCATTGCCTCCGACTAGTGTCCCATCGGTGCATGAATGTGATAAAGCACTGATTATTCTTTGCATAGATACAGTAGAGTGCTGTATGAAGGGGTATGTTCATACCCATCTGCTCACAACAGACTCGTGTTCAGGCTGCTGTTTAATACATCGCATTCTATTACATTATTATTGTTTAGCGTATATCTTAGATCCTTATATACCATTTCCTTTTTATACTTTTGCTATTATTGGGTGTAACTGGGACGTTGGATACACAATTTTGTTCCGCCTCATGTACCACATGCGATGCGAATGACAACGTCACCTTGAACCTTGAACGGGTAAATGAGGCACAGATTGTATTGTAAAGTGATTTGAGTATCTTGATAAGACAGAAAGGCGCTATACAAGTACAGTCCATTTTACCAGCACTTTAAGGGGCCATAGCTATTTGCTCTAAGTAACAAAAATGGCTACATCATTTTTAACAGATAATAAATTCAAATCTGGCATGGTGGTAGCTGAGAGTCAACACATGCATGAACGCTTTCACACCATCTCACACAACGTCATTTACAAGGTTTGACCAAAACTTTTATAGTTTTGATCCTTGTCAGCATAAAACAAGTTTAGCTTAAAACTCTGACATGAAAGGTGGCAAGTGATATGAACTTCTTCTGCAAATGCTAGGTCTTTGTGTCAGAGCTCAACTAAGCTGGCTGATAAACAAACACCTCTCATCAGGACTATGGCTCTGGGCTGTGCTGTGCTACGACTTCCCCTCAAACTCATGCCTTCAATGGCCTTCCTCATTGCCTCCCCTGGTGCAGCATCCTAGGAGATGCGAAGGCGCCAAAGGGCTGCGTTGCTCACCTGGCGGCCGTGCTGGAACCCCCACCACCTACCCACTCCACACGCATATGTATTATGTCTATTTACGGTATGTGCTTTTTATGTTAAGCTGAGGTCATTTTTTTTGCAACTCTAATACTGTATCCCGTAGGACACAATGCGAGAATTGATTTTTTTTTTTCTTTCTTACACCTACCCTCCCCCTCATGTTTCTTTTTCCTTATCTGAAAATAAGGCTACATCTACCGAGGCGGTGGCCTCAGTCACCGCCGTCTCCCCATGTCAGTTGTTGTTTATGTTGTTCTCTTGGACGGGCTGTACTGAAAATGCAATGACAATAAAGCGGATTCTGATTCTGATAAAGTGTTACTGCTCCATGAAAAACTTTGACCAGTATTAAAAGCAGTTGGAGCACGTTAGGAAACGACAAACATTTATGAGGTTAAATGAACACAAACCTTTCAAAGCTCAGCTATTTTTGTTTTTAAAGGCATCAGCACCTTTATTTAACCAGATAAAAACAGACTGAGATTAAGATATCTTTTCCAAGTGTGAGAATAATCAAAACAATTAACGTTATAGAAAAACAAAACAAAAGGAAACTCTCATAAATGGCATTTGGTTTTAAAATGCAAGGGCATAGTGTAATGATCTCATCAGTGACTAAAACACAATGGTTAAGACAGCACAAGAAATATGCCAACATAAAAATAAATAAAAAAAGAGTCCCTACGAGAGGTAAAGTTCAGAGAAGTTTCTTTACCTGAATCCACTTGTCAGGAATTGCCATGGCCAGTCGATAATCAAATCCAAGTCCTCCCTCCTCCACTCTCCTGCAGAGCGCAGGCATCCCCGACACATCCTGCAGACAAGTCATACACCAACTATCACTTGTTGGAATATCACTACAGTTGCACATTTTACAGAACAACAGTTTATTAATAAAATGTGTACATTGTGCAATTTTCAAGCCAAAAACCACTCATTATTTTTTTAAAGTAACGTTTAATTACAGCAACAAAAGAACAAGTAGCCTATCCCTCATTATTAAGTGCTTTTCACTAATAAAAGCTGAGGGCAGGGAAATTGCACAGCAGATGTTGAGTGTGCATGTGATGGAGTTTGTTTTTACCTCTGCAACAGTGATGCAGTCAGGATAAAGAGTATGCACAATGTGATTGGCGAGCATCAGGTACACCAAAGAGTCTTCATCCACTTGTAGGCCAAAGTATTCACTGTAGTCTCCAGAGAAGCCCGTGCCTGAGGGGGAAACACCCACGCAGTGAACGCTCATCCTGCTCTCCACCCAGACTTCCAAACTCATCACATTTTTTTTTTACCGATACCGTTTTCACTTCATCTCCTCGACAAATGTCAGCACAGCTCTTAACAGCTTGTTATTATGCTAATTAACAAGGGCTGGATTTTAATTCTGTGGTATAATGGAATTAGTTTACAAGGTTTACTCGTGTTCTCATTTGGATATAGTTGTGTGTTTAGATGAGATCAAATCCAGCCTTTACATTTGTCCTAAACCCTGAGCTGTCTGAGGTGCAGACAGACAAAGGAGAGACGGTATCACTTTAATGTCCAGAGGTGCACACTCAAACTAGTCTTACCGATACCGTGATGATGGTATAGCATAGAGGTGATGCCATCAAATCTGAAGCCATCAAAACGGTACTCCTCCATCCACCAGCACAGGTTTGACAGCAGGAAACGCAGCACCTCCCAACTAACAAGACACAAAAACACACACACGCAAACTGTTGAAGGTCAAATAAACAACAAGCTGTGAATTATTCACGCATCTCATCATGCAGTTTGGTCACCAGAGATTAATTTTCCCCAAAACAGGACACTCGCATATTGATAACTGAAGCTCCATTGTGTGGGAGGTGGAGAGTCGGAGACAGCAGAGGGTGCTTTTATTAACTAAGCTAGGTGGGACAATGTCTTTCACATATGAAGTTGTTGTGATGAAAAATTTGTGATACACTGTGCGCAGTACGATTTCCAGGTTCCCATCAGCTAGCTTGCATAACCACGCTGAGCGTTTTGTAATGAAAAGGAGAGTCCTTGTGCAATTGATCTGAACGGATTTTAGACCGCACTGGAGAAAACCAAGTTTTTATCTCCTGAGGATGAGGTCAGCCGTATACTTAGACTCACTCTGGCTTTGATGTCGGATGATTTCTGGCGTTCTTGATGCTCAAAAACTGTACAGAAAAATAATAAACTACAGTAGTCCCTTGCTACTTCGCGGTTCTTCGTTTTTCGCGGACTCGCTCTATCGTGTTTTTTTCAAAGTAAGATTGGACATGACACACAACTGGCTGATTGATAGATGAGCCGTATGATCGGCATGGAATATTTTATTTTAAATTATTTAGCACCTGTGTGCAGCCCACAGCTGCAGGAGAAGCTTCCTCCTGCAGCATGTCGGATCTTTGCTATGCAGCGGAGAAGTGGGCGTGGCCGAGAGCGCTAGCAGAGAGCAGCCGGAGCCAGAGAGCTGAGATCATGACATGCTGTGCTAAACTACAAGAGTAAAGACTAAAATAAACTACTACTTACTACTACAGTAAAGACTAAAATAAACTACTACTTACTACTACAGTAAAGACTAAAATAAACTACTACTTACTACTACAGTAAAGACTAAAATAAACTACTACATACTACTAAAATATTAAAATAAACTACCACTTACTACTAAAGTAAATACTAAAATAAACTACCACTTACTACTACAGTAAATACTAAAATAAACTACCACTTACTACTATAGTAAATACAAAAATAAACTACTAACTACTAAAGTAAATACTAAAATAAACTACTACTTACTACAACAGGA